AAAAAAAAAAAGTAGAAAATGTGATTTACATTTTGCAGAAATGACTTTTGCATGCATATGTCGTAATCGGAATGCATTCAATTTCCAAATATTATTTCCAATTTAAATTCAAATTTATTCTGCATGAAAACAGACTTGGTATTTTTTAACTAATTGCAAAAAAAAAAAACGATTATTTTCGATAATAGTGACCGAATTTAGCTATTTTAATTGTTTGAGTTATTTCTGTTTCATTTCAAACTTTCAAATTTGCATATTTAATTTTTCGATTTATACTGGAAGATTGCAAATATTTTGATCAAAATTAAATTGTCTAATAGATGGGATAACATTAGTAAAAAAAAATTTTTTTTCGACAGCAGTTTTACTGAAATAATTGTTAATTAAAATGGATTTTAAGTTCAATATGACGTAATATTGATCGAAGATTTTTTTTTTTATTTTTTTTAGAAAAAGATTTTTAGAAAACATATACTTCCGTCAATTTTTAATTACAATAATATTTCCGAAATGTACAATGGTCAAAAGTTAAAAGAAATGACCAATCATTGCTCAATGCAATTATTGTTTGTGGAGCAACGATAATCATTTACTTATCAAATAATAAATTCACCTGAACAATTGCTACACGATAATACATCATATTGACAAATTGATGTCAGAAATAATATTTATTTGTTGTTAAATTGATTTAAATAACGGCTATTGCTCATTAGTGAAGATGACATCACCGCCATCTCATCTCATCATTTGTCGTAACGGAACAGATGCTAATAACTAAGTCAATTTAATGGCTTTGTGATTCTATTGAATTTACCTTTATTGAAAATTTTTCCATTCCACATTTGATTTTGAAAATATTACGATAGCGATTAAATAACAAATAATTAAAAAGTTTTGGAAAAAAATTAAAAATTATGATTGAATGATTAAAATTTAAAAGAAAAGAAATGTGAAATTATTAAGGAAATGAATAAAGTTGAAAAAATAAAAAATTTTAAGCATTTTATTGGTGATATTATCTAGAAGAAGATGATAATGTTATCAGTGATATTTTCATTGATAGTTGTGATATCTTAAAAACAATATCAATTATTGAAAAAGTGATAATACAATCATAAAAGGCTTATTAACAAAGGTATGTAATTTTTTAATTTTTTTTTTCTTAAAAACAATGTCAATGATATTATCTAGAAAAAGTTTTTACCCAATTAAAGCGGGTAAAAATTTTATACTGGAATGCATAGTTAAAGGTTTTGCAATTTAAAGATTTCAATTTTGTTGTTCAAGTGAGAATTGAAAATTTTTAAAGTATTTGTTAAGTTTGAAAATTAATGACTTCTGAAGGATAAGGCTTTTTTTTTTTTAATTGGAATTATTATTTTTTCTAGGTTCGTTATTCATTTATTTGATATTAAGGTGCAATTATTGAATAAAAATTTTCCAGCTCAATTGTTATTTGCTATTATTAGTCATTATAAATTTGTCATAAATTAATCCGGTTAACTTGATTCAATTCAACCGGAACTACAAATGGCTAAAATAAATGATTATTTTTCCGCATTCGAATTTTTCCCCACTTTCAGTTGATTCTTTTTAAATGTTTTATTATATTGTTCTTCTTCATGTTGCGTAATTTATCTTCCGGCTCATTTGACAAATCTCACAATGACATTTGCGCTTTGAATTTTTTCATTTCGTTTTTCCGGATATAGAAAAGAAGTAATAAATGTTCCATAATTAGTGATAAGCATTAATAATATTTTCTATTAATAATGAGCATTAATGGCGGTAATTAATCTTATCATGCATTCTGATCCGTTATTTGACTGTCAATCGATCGATATAAGAAAGTTAAATAGGAACGATAATCTGTTTTCAACATTTAACTCATTCAAATATTTCTATCAAATCCTTCAAATTTTTATCAAAATCAACTTTCTACCCTTCAAATTTTTATCAAAATCAACTTTCTGTCCCCCAACTTTTTATCAAAATCAACTTTCTGTCTTTCAAATTTTTGTCAAAATCAACTTTCTATCCTTCAAATTTTTATCAAAATCAACTTTCTTTTTTTCTTCCTCTCCTTTATACTGTATTGCATAGATTCTGTAAATAAAAATGGATACTTGAAAAAGATGAAAAGAGTGAAGAGATAACTGTTAATGATTAGATTATTACAATGAAAAGAGTTGCTAGTTGTTCATTCTATGTCACCCTGTCACACAATCAATTCTAATAGTATTTGAAATGAAATTAAATTTTTAGAAATGAAATGACAAAAAAGAATGACAATATTTGAATTAAAACTGAGAAAAGTAACAAAGGTGAAAATTGCAAAAAGCAAAAATAATTTAATTTAAAGTTTAATTTTTAAATCAAAAGTTCATTTGATCCATTTTTTGAGAGAGAAAAAAAAAGGAAACTTAAATTAGTTCAATTAATGATTTCTTCCCCCAACCATAATTCGTCTCATTATACATTTCATTTCGAATTTGAAATACCATTTCAAATTTCCGATTAATTTTAATCGAATTTCCAATAGTACTAGAATTCAAATGCAAATTTTTATTCTGTTGAATGATAATTTAACAGTGCTTGTTAGTACCAATGATACCAAATAAATTCATATCGATTTCTTTTTAAAGCCATTATCCACAACATACACTCACATTTTCCTTTTTTTTTCTTGTCACCTTCTCTTAAATTTTGTCCCCTCCTTCCCATATTTGTGAGCAATCTCTGTCAAGCTAGTACTGTTGCTGTATGTCACATTTATTTCGATGAATCGCACTACTCCTAATCAAATCTAACAGTTTCGAAAAAGTTTGAGGTTGAAAAGAAAAAAAATAAAAAAGGAGTATTACAATTATCACAGAGTACTTGAATACTTGAATACTAGAATACTTGCATTATTAATGAAATTATTAATCCTAGAAATAATTTCATGATTCCATTATATTTATCACAATGATTTGTTAATTCTCATTAAATCTAATAATTTTGGAAAAAGTTTAAATTTTAAAATGAAGGAAAAAAAAAGAAGGAATATTTTAATTATCATAAAATATTTGTTTTCTCTCTACAACGATTTAAAAATCTTTCAGTAGTTTCTCTTCGAATGATTGGAATGAATTTTTCATACATACATAAAAATATATTTTCATTTACACATCCATTTCATTAGCGAATTCATCAAAATACTAAACCAAACAAATTCTTTGTTCGTTTAGCCATCAAGGAAATGTTCAATCAATCTTTGTTACATTTTTCCGTTGATTTGACCATCAAGAAAATGGTCAATCAATCTTCGTTACATTTTTTCGTTGATTTGACCATCAAGAAAATGGTCAATCAATCTTTATCTCTTTTTTCTTTTTTTTTTCGAAAATTTTCAAAATTACATCAAATAAATCAGTGATTTTATTTCAATCTAATGAACATTTATTGTCACAAAAAAAAAATTACATTTGTCAATTAATAAAATTGTTGTGCTATGGTAGAAATATGACGTTGACACATTTTGGAGGAGCATTTTTTTTTTTTTTTGTTTTGATATGGTATATTTCGTAAAATAGTTCATTAAATTGTCATCATTTAAAATTGCTTATAATGTTAATTCAAAAG